AATTCAATTAATTTCAATGAATTACTACGCTAAGGGTATCATCCAAAGCGGCTTTGAATTCAGGCGGCTCAATTTTCAATCACATTTAGCAGGCGTGCTACCTGTTTAAAAAAGCAACTTAAATCAAAATAAAAAATGATTAAAAAACACTATACGGAGCAACCATTATGTTGAATTTTATTGAAATAATTTGAATCTTATCTAACACGCAAAAATTTCATACAGTTATCGAACTAACTAAAGATATAGTAGTTTGTTTTATTTGAGATGTCTTTTAACTTTCATTTTTTAGTGAATCTTTTGTGCCTTCTTAGAATTAATAATTATAAATAAAATTAAAAAAACTATCTGAATACAAAATTCCATCAAAATCGTTAGAGTCGTTTCCTAGAAACCTTTGGATATATATACATACATATTTACAGCAATTGATTGTTTAAAGTAATGATACATATATGTAGTTTGAGAAAAAATCGTACGATTTTGCTGCCTTAAAAACTTATTTGCAAATTTTTACAAGAACTTACCCTTAAGTAGATAATTTTTTTCTAAATGTACTGACAACTATTTTCTCCCTGCAACTCTCCAAATTTTTATATTGAACCCCTCCTCCCCCACTGTCGCATTAAATACCCGGCGCAAGTATTAAATATATGTTTTTTCACCTTTCCGAAAGCTACCGCTAGATGGTAAGCCGGGGTGTATCAATTTTGAGTAAATTAGCGTCCTTAAATTTTGAAATATTGCAGTTTCAAGCATTTCTGTAATTTACCGTTATATGAAAAGCGGCCGTAATTTTAGTCCGATTTCAATAATTTTCAACGTTTTGCTTTTATGTAGCAAGCACAATAAAAATACCGAGTTTGGTACAAATTGGTAGAACGTTTACCGATATACATATATATGATCATAAGTGGGCGGTGCCATGCCCATTTTCCAAAATTTTACCATAAACGTATTTCTTGGTAAAGAATTGTTGCAAGCATCCATTTTGAATAAATTTGCTTTAATATTTACTGATTTATCGAAGATTTTGTATTTCTCTAAATTACCGTTATATGGGATGTGGGCGTGGTTATTGTCCGATTTTTTAAACTTTCGGCCATTTAGTATGCTGTATCAAGGCCAACAACTATGCCAAGTTTGGAAGAAATTGGTGCAGCGGTTACCAAGATATACACATGTAACCATAAGTGGGCGTGGCTACGCCCATTTTCCAAAAATTTATTATTTTCTTATTTTTCGTCTGAAAATTATTACAAATATCAATTTTGAGTGAATTGTCTTCAGTAGTTACTAAAATATCGCAGTTTTCGTATTTCTGGAAATTACCGTTATATGGGAAGTGGGCGTGGTTACTGTCCGATTTCGCCCATTTTCAATACCTTAACCTACCTTGGGTTAACAGAAACCTACATACCAAATTTCGTTGAGATATCTCAATTTTTGCTCGAGTTATCGTGACGGACAGACGGACATGGCTTAATCGATTTCTCTATTCATTCTGAGCATATATGTATACATTTGTCTATATCTATCTCGATTCGTTTTGGCA